TTACTCCATTAAATTTTGTGCCTAAATAGGTTTTTTTTTAGTTGTTTTTAGAATTTTATCCTTTAAGTTTCTTTTAGAAATTAAGTTTTGTTTCTTTTAAGATTTACTTAAAAAGTTTTAAGATTCTTTTAGAGTTTATATTTTGTTTTTTTACGAATTTATTTTTTATTTTCAAAACCGTTACGGCAAAAAGCAATTGCAAACCTAGAATTATTTGTAAATCGAGTTTACAATGTAAATCGAGTTTACAAATAATTTTTCCAGCATAAAACGTAATAGATACGTAAAAATACGTATTTCATATAAATTTTTCGACATACTCCCTCCGTGGATCATTGATTACTGACTGCTGAAGTCTGAAGTGCTGAGCGAGGAGCCACAGCATATGCCTAGATTCACTCGTTTAAATTTTAACAATAGATTTGGTAAAAAATGCCGCTGTTGCAAGATTTAAAATATTCCATCAGTTTCAAAGAATATTTCAAATTTATAATAAAATAATTATTATGGAAGTTCTTCAAAAAAAGAAAATATATTTGGTTATGTTGACTGCTCTAAACTAATCATTCCCCCAAAGTTCATTAAGTCAAAGTAAAATAGATTTGTACTAAGTAGTACTTGTAGAACTGTAGTACAGATAAGCTTGATATCATAAAGAATTTCTACGTCCTTGGAAATCAATATATTGCTGTTCCAGAAGTATAAACACATAATTGTAAAATTTTGAAAAATGACTTTATTGTGTTGGATAGTTCAAAACTGCATTTTCTATATATTTTTAAATCATCATAACTGTACTTACGGAATCACCGGTCATGGCGAAATTCGTAAGTACAATTACGACGATTTACAAATATGTTGAAAATGCAGTTTTGATCCTTCCAACACAATATTTTTCACAAAGTCATTTTTCAAAATTTTACGGTTATGTCATTATACTTCCGGAACAGCGATATATCCTATCACTTTGCCATCGTTGTTTGAAAGTGGAATCTTATTTTGTCTTTCAAAATTATGATTCGACTGTTACTGTTCCTGTCTGTGAGTAGGTATCTTAGCTGGGTGTAACATATATTCTACTCTTTTATATTCTGCAAGAATTTGAGTACTATCTTATTTGCAGAAACTATATAACAGGCCTCCTAAAATCCAGATTTGGTTTGATTCTTCATGCTTTAGTATTAAAAACAAAACTTAAATTTTAAACTTAAAAAACTTAAGATACAGTCTGTCCCAAACCCTTTTTTCAGTGCGTCACTAATTTTAACGTCATATAGGATTTTAAGAATGTCGAGAATTATTGCATGACATTTTAGTTAAATCTGACAGTTGCAGGATCGTAATCGGCTAAACGTGAAAAGGGTATTTTTTTAATGCATAGCAGTTTTTCATAATTCTATTCTATTCTGTTCTATTTTATACATTCCATGCAAAGTGCTTAATTAGCTAAGATTTGTTTATGAATTTATTATTATTTATTACAAACACTAGGGAATTGGAAGGTTTGTTTATTTAAAATAACGCTTCCTCTTAGAATCGTTTAAGAGTTGACTACAAGGTAAAAAAATTTACTGACAATTGCAAGGCATCAAAGTAAACATTCTTGTGATAAAATAATATCGTAATATTAATATATAATAAGTAATTTTCTGATAAGTTTGTGTGGCAGCCAATAGTTTAATTTTGTGAAGAGTTGTCATTAAATAGTGGAAATAGTTTAAATAGTGAAGCAGTTGATTTTAAAGTTATTCTACCAGATTTGGTGTGCAAATGAAAGAAGGTTATAAAGTTTAGTTAAAAAAAAACAATATAAATAGTTTAAATAGTGAAGCAGTTGATTTTTGAGTTAATCTACCAGTTCCGATATCCAGATGAAATCGTGCTAATGGAGTTTAGTTAAAAAACAAGATACCGAATGTAAGTTTACCTTCTTTTTTATGAATAACAAAAATGAATATTATATTTCAAACAATCTATAATCCCATTCAGAATCTGATTCTTGAAAATCAATGATTACACTAGATATGTGGCTGGTATCAATTATATCCTACATTTCAAGAAAATGTCGTGGTTCTAAAAAGAACCGTTTTAATACATATAAATATCCATAAAGGCATTAGTTTAAGATATTTCCTCAATCTCATTCCGGAATTCACAATCTGATTCGCGAACGACAGAAACTGATAATAAAGATGTCTCAGCCTCTTTTTCTAATTGAAACTAATTTAATAATTTTAATATTAGTCTTTTTTCATTCTCGGTATATCTCGGAATATTTAAAATATTTTTATGACAATAAATACAAAATTTAATTTTCACTGTAGTTAAAATGTCTGAAAATACTAACCTGGAATGGCAATTATTATTTTATCAGTTGACATTGTGAAAGTACTGTCACTGTCATTATCAAGATCATCTGTGTCAAATTATATTTATATGCATAATTGATTGGATATCTATTTAGCGTATTCTAAACTCCAACCAATTATACGTTCGTAAGTAGAAATCGCTTTAATATGCGAATATCCGTGAACGATACCTAATTTTCTAAGTTCTATGTATAATATTCAGCGACTCACGTTTTTTTCTGTCACTTCTAGCTTAATGCGTTAGAGAGAATTCGAACAACTATGACGCACTGAAAGAAGGGTTTGGGACGGACTGTATGGACGTTTTCAGATTGTGAGAACAATTTTTGACGTTTCTGGTTTGTTTACTTTTGTAGCTGTCAGTTTGTTGACTATTTTGCTATTTTTTGTCCTGTTTTTACATTTTGGAATTATTTATATTACACAAACAGTTATTTTCACAACTAACTTTATATTGCAGTTGAAAATTTTATGGTAAGTGTATTTAAATTTGCCCTTAATTTTCCTTAAACTTAACCTTATTCACACAGATTGTCATAACCATTTTCTGTCACTTTTTGTTGCTTTGAGTAAATTTCCGACTGATTTCGTATGTTTTAAATCATGACGCACGGGTAAAGATAAATTGACTCAACTGAAATACGTTGTTATTGAATTCGTTATTGATCGAATTTCATGTCATGTGATTTCTCTCATCAATTGTGAGAAAAATAAATAAATAACGAACATTTTCCTCCGGTTGGCAACACTGCTGAAATGTCGAAGTTTAGCTTTCAATTTTTATACGTGATGGGCGGGGCAACCTTTTTGGGGGAGTTTTTACCTGTTTTAAACAACGAATTCAGAATCCAGCCCCACGTTGAAGTATTGGAATTGTATAATATAATTATTTGACAACCTTTTGTTGGCTAAGCACCTAAAGCGAAGTAGATCCGATATACATGTATTTCCTATGTTCCGTTTTAATTTGGTTCAATCTGTATAGTATGTTATATTAGATGAAAGGGAATTAAAAATGTAAACGAAAAATGTCAAAATATATAGGGTGTTCCATATAAAAAAACATAAGTTGGTATTATATTTCTGTAGTGAGACAGAATAAAGAAGATATAGATATATATATATAAGATATATAAGAAGTAACACTGTTGTTTTCAACATTTTTCAATAATCGCCTTGTATCTCGCCAATGTTGGGAGCTATTGTTGATTTGATTGGACAATCATTTCTTTAACGAAAAAAGAAGTTATAACATCTTAACTATTTTTTTTATCACCTTTAGTTTTCGGTGTACCCTGCAAAACATACCAATTTGGGACCCTCTGTATATTTAAATTTATGTTTAAAAAACGCACATCTATATATAAAATTCGACGGGTCCCAGACTTTTGATTTTTGTCGACATGATGCTCTGATCAAAATATATCGAATTTTAACCGTCGAGTTGATACATGTTTAAACTTTATTTTGTAAGCGATATTTAAAATCGCCGGTCGCTTAAAGCGTTGTTTCTGATAGAATAGTTAATTCTACACAAAAAGTGTTACTTAACATTTCTGTTCAAAATTATCTCAGCTACATTTTTTATTTTTATTTTTGCGGTCCCAAAATTGATATTCTCAGCAAAATCAGCTTGTTGATTTTCGGTTTAAATATAGAATTATTCTGCCTTCTAAAGGCTACCGTTAGCTGTGTAGTGGACAAGCGGCTCTAAAATTCCAGTTGTGATTGCCTAAACGGTAGGCTTATGCAAATTTTTAAACCCCTTTTCTCTATTCGGATTGCCGAATATAGGCCTCCCCTAATTCTCGCCATTCATCCCTGTTTGTAAGACGTTTCCACATTGGCCCTGCAGTTCTTTTAATATCGTCGCTCCATCGCATTTGCGGTCTTCCTCGTGGTCGTTTGGCTTCATATGGCCGCCAATTCCCGATTTCTTTATTCCATCGGCCATCCGTAAGACGTTCGTTATGTCCAGCCCATTTCCATTTCAGTTTAGCTGCCTGTTCGACAGCATCTATGCAAATTTAATAAAATCATAAATTGTTTGAATATATGAAAAAAATCATTTTAAGCGCTTTTTGGTCTTTTCACCCCAATGTGAGGTGCCTTAATGACTTCTCCTTTTTGGTCAGATTTCAATGGAAAATTAATGTAAAACAATAAACTTATGTAACAGTAGAGTGTAATATTGTCGCCTAGGTTGGGTTCTTCTCTTAAAGTGGGAAAAACTTCCACGATTTAAAACTTATTTGAACAAAAAAAAAGAATAATACAACAGCCAATAGTTCTTTTATTTTTTCTTGTTTCACAATTTCTCTTCTAGCTCTGTTCGCACTTCAACTGACGCATTTTTGTTGATTGCTATATTTCACTGCTTACTGCTTACTATTCCACTTCCTTTACAATACAATCTATTATTTGGCCCAGCCTGTCAAGATGTTCCAAAAGTAATAACCAACAATCCAAACTAAATTACTATCTGGATAAAATGGGTAAGATATAAAAGTTACCTTTAAAAGGAAGAAGAAAAAAACCTTTAAAAATTCTAAACTACTTTTCGTCGCTTTCAGCCATTTTTTCGTTCATTAGTACTCCTTCTGATAACTTAAACTGTAAATCAATACTTACTTTATCTTTATTAGCTCCTTGAGTTTCTCCCCTAACAAACATAATTCCTCCCGGTTTGGCGAGTTGTGAAGTTCCAGCCATTTCAACAGCTTTGGCTTCTAAAAGTCTCATACCGTCTTTAACACCTGGCGCCAAATCCGCTACTGTACCGCTCATGCTGCCCGCGGAACTCAACATTTGGGCTGACATCATGTTCACCTACAAAAAATTTGTCATTAATAAATTTTATTCTAAACATTTCATTTTAAACAATAATACAAGAGCGTTCATCCTAAAAGTGTATATATACCATGTTTGTAATCCTAAAAAAGTATATAATAAAGCAAACATACCATACATATATATATATATATATATATATATATATATATATATATATATATATATATATATCGGTTTTCTAGGTTTTTAACGCTTTTCGGTAGAAATCTTATCTCTCACTAGAAACCCACCCCTCGCCCCATACTGCTGCATTCGAAAAATTTCTGACTGGACGTGACTGTAACCACGAACTTACTAAACTACTCAAATCGAAGTGAGTCCAGCCCACTGAGTCATCTATAAACGCAGCAAAATTCCTTAATAATAAAGGTAATAAAAAATAAAGGTAAAATATAAATAAATAATAAATAAAGGTAAAAACAAATAAGAATTGGTTAATATTAAGAAATTACACAAAATTGTTGTGTCTTACACAATTTGTTCAAAATATACACAAAGTTTAGAACTAAATGTAATAATTTTGAAGATTTACAATTTGTTTCACATTAAAAAGGTCCAGTGACTCAAGCATCACAACACGTATGGCCTGTTTACCGGCCGGATACACAGATACGCGAGCACGAAAATTAAAAACGGCAGCAAACATAGTGGCTGACACAATTGTTTTCTGTATACAAGTCCTAGTGGTAGTCTTTTCGTCCATATATGTATGGCCCATGATAAGCGTTTGTCTATGTGGATGCTTTTGCGGTAAAAAAGGTTAATTTAAATCGAGGTTAACTTGTGGACATGTACATCTTCTTAGAGTAAATGTAATTTGTGTAGATTTTGAGAGGTTTACTTTAATTCTCCACGGCGTATATGCAATTGTAGCATCCCTGTTATTGCTTGTTAATAAGTCAGCTCTATATATCAGGTACGAGATCGGCCCGAGAACACTACCCTGAGGTACACCAGACAGGATATGCTACAGTTTTGTGTAGGCTTCTGTATATTTTACTATTTGTATTTGTATGTATTTGATTTCTGTAAGGTATGATTTAGGCAGTTTGAAGTTAGACAGTTTGAAGTAAGGATGAGGTAGAATTTTCTTTAACTTGTACACAAGTCATGTATGTCACACCATATCAAAAGCTTGAGAAGCATCTAAAATGACTGCAGTACAGTATAGTTGTTTTCGGGACTATGTCTTTTTGTTGTGTATAATCTGTGAATTTAATACAATTTACTATTTTACTAGGAATAAGCCACAATTTTACTTTAAAATAAGTTTATTTTGAAATAACATAACCAATAACAAAAACTTTAGTTATACATTTTTCAAAATTTGTAAAAAACATTTTTTGAGAACGATTTTCGAAACACTAAAATTGAGAAGTCTAACATTAATTATTTAAAATTGATATTATCATCACAATCATAACCAATAATTATCCCATAAAAACATAATATTTAACTTAAACATGCCACAAGAAAGTAGTTTCAGAACCTTGTCAACATAAACTTATTTTAAAGTAAAATTGTGGCTTATTCCCAGTAAAAATAGTAAGTTGTATTAAGATGTAATAATAAAATAGCTTTAGAACAATATCTGTGAACTTGTTCTGTTGTAGCACATTGGTCACGAAGTCCGAATTTATGCTCAGGTATAAAGTCCTTCTTGTCCAATATTGGTATGATTTGTCTCAAATGAAGTTTTCAAAAACTTTAGAAATTACTGGGAGCAGACTAATTGCCCGGTATGAGTTGACATATTTGGATGTTTACCAAGTTTTCATATGAGTATAATATGTACCACTTTCCATTGTAATGGGAACTAATTCAGACATACCATAGCGTTGAAGATCATATTGATTTTTCTGTAGCAATCATGAGTTAGTTCTTAAATGACTTTACCCGTCATTAGGTACTATCCTGGCGTTGTATTAGATTATAGATCATCCTTGATTATTTGTTTTATTTCTTTAATATTAAACTTAAAGATTGGTAGTTCTATTTAATATGGAGCGTCAAGCAAAGAACGAATTGGTTCTTGTTCTAGACGTACTACTCTGGTAAATGCATTCAATACTGTTGAAATATGTTAGGAAATCTCTCGGATTTCTCTGACATTTTTACAGGTGAAGGTGAGTCTTGTACATCTTGTGGCGTTTATTTATTATATCTTTTTAGAGCATTTGGTTTTCTAAAGAAGTTTGGATTCTTCTAGTTTTTTCTTCTTGATATTGGTTCTGTTAGTATACTTCGGAATATACTCCAATTTGTTTGTTTATTGGTTAGGACTGGAGGCTTATTTCTAAGTACGACCTTGGAGTTTAAGTCTGACGAAAAGTCCCATCATTATATTGCTAAGTAGTTAAGAAAGATACCTTCAATCATACAAAGTCTAAGAGATCGGGTGGTTTCTTTGGATCTCTCGGATAATAAATTCGTACTCCTGTATGTATATATTGTAGGTTATTTCCCGCTATGAACTTGTGTGAAATAAAATTGACTTGCCAGGAGGACAATAAACTTACTTAACTCATAATATTTTATATTAGATTTGATAATAATAGCTGTACCAACGTCTGCTTTGTTATTTAGATGTTTTGTATAGTGAATAGTATAATTCACTATACATCTAGTGAATTAGTGTATTTTGTAATTTTTATATATTGTTTGTCTATAAGATGAGCTTTTGATACAAGCATAACATCAATCTTCTTCTCGTTGAGAAAAATTTCAATTACTTGGCTATGCTACATTAGGACGTTTGAGTTCCAGAAGGCTATTTTAAGTGCTGGTTGCATTAGTGTGTTTTGGAAACCATAGTGGAAACTATGGACTATAAACCATGTTTTGGAAACTAAAAACCATTTTGCCATCATGTTTTCAAGATTGGTAATTGTCGTTAAATATAATGATTTTTTGCAAATGTGACTCCACTTTCAAAGGGTAAAAAGAAAAAGAAAAATGACTTACTCACTGGGTTTTTAGTGTATCTGAGACGACCGGTTTCGAGCTTTACAAATTCAGACCATCAAGTCCAACGTTAACAAGTTACTTAACCAATAAAGGTACAAGGATTTTCAATTGGGCAATTGTAACGATGTCACCGAAAGCGCTTAGCAACAGCTGACCTTCTCTCTCTCTCTGACCACTACCATCGTTGCGCGCTGGAAATGATACTCAAAAATATAAACGTCATAAACCACGACAGAGAAACGAGTTTAATCCGGAGTATTGATCTGGTAAGGGCTTCTACCTGCGAGTCTCTGAGTATAGATTAGAGACCACCGGGTAGAGTTATTAAACTAAGTGCGGAAGTGGAGTACACACTTTGATAAAAACACTTAAACGCAGTAACTTTCTGGAAAGGCTAGACGAATTATGCCTGGCCTACGAGATCCACAAACAAGATCTACTAAAAGCATTACCAGAATTTTTAGGAGACCATGCATTACTATAGTATCGAAACAACAACAAAAATGGGAAATCGTGGACAGACTTCAGCGGAGATTTTAAGAAATCTTTGTATCTCAGAGTATATTTGCTGCAACTGGAGGAGCAAATCAGAAACAGAAAGCAAAGGCAAAACGAGCCTCCGGATAGATATATCACAGATATTCAAACTTTAATTAGACGAGAAGGATCATTGGCCAGAAATCAAGAACTGGAACGAATATATAGAAATATGCCGGAATATAAGCTTTCTATTATTTGAGGATTCAACGGAATTGCAAGGAGTACGAAGCCATAGAAAAGGCCCGAGAAAATCATAATATTTGAGACACGTGGAAAATACAACCCCAAGAAAATATGATGCCAGAATAACGTGTTTTAGATGCAAGATACTAGATCACAACCGTAAAAATTGCAATGACCCATGAAAAAATTTTGTTCGCGTTGCAGCAAAGATGATGTTTACAGCAGAAACTGCTATATAAACTGTCAGGGAAACGAATAACATATTTCAGAAATAAGGAATCGTCCCAGTATGTGGAGCAATATTCGACTCCATACGTTCTGGCTGCTACAAAACCAGAGAACAATGATTTTCGACTTTGCGCATCATTAAAAATCAGGCACAAAACTTACAAAGCGCTAATTAATACAGGAACTGTTAAAAATTATTGTGGAGATAGAATTAAACAGGCATAAAAGCACTATCTGAGAAACTATAGCGGAAAAACAAAACTAGGAAATGGAACTGTTCATCAATGGAACTAAACCAGAAATTAACTATCGATTAACTCAGGAACTGAGTTGACAGAGTTGACTGAGTTTATCGTCAACAAAAACTGACATAACAGACAATGATCTACAATTCAGTTTCTGGATTTTTACCTTACATAAAAAATAATACTAGTCGGTCAGATAGCCAAACAGGCTGGGCGGCCGGTTTCTCATTCGCTTCACTACGAGGGATGTGAGTTAGATCCCCAGCGCGGTATACAGAAAACAAAAAGGCTAACGCAGCAGCTTAAAATTCTAAATGAATCTGCGGCTTAGACTAGAATATGCTGGTGTCTGATCGGCCTATGATGGAGCAGTACGGTAAGAGATAAGAGCTTGCGACTTGGTGATACTCCTCCATAGATCCCTACCGGAAGGGGGCCGCCTAAATACCGGGGTTATATATATATATATATATATATATATATATATATATATATATATATATATATATATATATATATATATATATATATATAAGAAATACTGGATATTATTGACTGGCGATATAAACAAACAACACAGTTTATTAGGGTTGCAGTCAGAATATTGGCCGGGATGTTAAATAAAAAACACTCTTTTGACTTTTTGTCTAGCTTTCGGAATAATTTTATTCCTTTTTCAAGACACTGTAAAAGACAATTATGTAAATATTTAAAAAATATCACAATTCTTCAGTGTAACTTACTAGTCGTTGAGATTATTTTTGTAAGCATTGAACACTCAACATTTATACAACACATTAAAATATACAATTATGGACATATACATCATAAAATTTTTAAAATTTGTTGTAAAAATAGTAAAACTTGATTGATGGCATGTTTTACTGGTGTATATTAACTCATACAGAGAATGGAAAGAAAAAACAGTGTAATTAATATGTAATTGGGTGTAAATTGATGTTATCTTTCTTTACAAGAAATACTATATTAGAGCCTCTCCTTAGGTGTCTATCCTATTTTAACCTGTCTTGATGGTATGCAACATATTATACAGAGGTTTAATTTTTGTACAGGTAAATATTTATTTTATTTTTGATGTTTTTCTAGTAAATAACAATAAATGTTACTTAATTTGTCTATATCGGACTTTTTATTGATGCAAGATGTGTTAGATTTTATGAAACACATTTCCAAAAAAACACGTTTTAAATGGTTCTTTTCTTTTGCCAAAATACAGGAATCATCGAAATTGAACTCATGTTTTAGAGTTAGTGCATGTTCTGTCAATGCACATGCATTGATTTTTTTGGTTTTTATATCACTGCGATGTGATATCACCCTGTTGTGAAAATTACAAGATGATTCTCCTATGTAAATTTTATTACAGTTACTACACGGTATAGAATAAACAACATTCGATGACTCCTGTATTGTGAAAGGATCTTTTGTGTTTTTGTGTAAAGCTTCGATACTTTTTTCACATTTTTGGTTGTAATTTTTAAGCCACTAACATTTTTAAAGATGTTCATTAGCTTAGGTGTCAAAAATGGAATATAGGGTAGGCAACCATAAGTTATTTTAGATGGTAATATTGATGCGTTATGTGTCAATGTCAATTGTCGGATCTCATTGTTATGAAAATTTTGGTTGACAGAAACTTGTGAAGGAAAAGGAGAACCGAAAATTAGTTTATTTAACAGCCCTATGGGATAAGAATTCTCTTGTAGTATGGATATCAACTTTTTTAGTCCCTTGTCTCTGAATTCTATGTGTGACAAATTGATAACCCTAGTTTTTAAAGCCAAAACCAAATTTGTTTTCATCTTAGATGGATGTTGAGAATAAAAGTTTATGAAACGGTTACTGAAACAAGGTTTACGATACCACTCCGTCCTTAGCATGCCATCATTGCCACGATGGATTAGCATGTCTAAAAAAGGAATCATATTATCAGCCTCTCTCTTAACCGTAAACTTTAGGTGTTCACATTGGGCATTAAAAGTGTTTAAAACATCAGTTACCTTGTTTTCAGGGACCGATAGAATCAAATCATCTACATAACGTTTAATAAATGGTATGCGAAAAGGTATGTTTTCTTTACATGTTGTTATAAGTTCATCCAAAACAAAATTACATAGTATGGGGGATATTTTACTGCCCATTGGAGTGCCAAAAATTTATTTAAAAAAATTACCGTTGAATACAAAGATGTTAGAATCAAATATAAATGTTAACATTCTTATGAAATCATCTAAACTGATCTTAGTATGTGGAGAGATGTTGTTCCAGTTATTTTTAATGCTGTTAAGAATAGCATCTAGAGGTAAGTTTGTAAACAGTGACACAACATCTAAACTAATCAATATATAATTATTTGGAATTTATATATATATATATATATATATATATATATATATATATATATATATATATATATAAATAATACTAACATGTAAAAAGGGTCAAAATAACTGTGTTTAACATAAGTGTGTATATGCGCGCATATGTGTGTATATAGTATTTAATATTGTAGCAAACAGTATTTATTATATATCGTGGCTGAATGGATCAATGGTTCAAAGCCATTGAAAAAACTGTTTTAAATGTTTATTAGCCAAGAGTGAAATATATTTAGTATGATATAAAGCAAATATCGAATATATCCACATATAGATCAAGGATATATATAGTATCTGGTCATAACTAACCCGTTATATTGTATAACTATGTAAGAAACAGCAAACTATTGAAGATCTTACCTGTGTGTTGTAAACAGCTTGTACGCTACGTTTTATTCTCAACATTTCTCTCATAGTATCTTCATTACCATGACGAACTTCGAACTCTTTCCAAATCTGCCAAAACTCTGCCGTTATCCTAGGATCGCAAATTTGGCTACAGTGAGCATATATAGCTCTGGCTCTATCAATTTCACCTGCAATAAAAAATATTCGGATCCATTAAAATTGTGCTGAAGCCATTTTCTTGTGACAGCTTAATGCAATTTACTATTTTTGTTGGGAATAAGCCACAATTTTACTTTAATATTAAGTTTATTTGAAGTTTCGATTTCGCTTTTGAAAGCGTTCTTAAAATAGAAAACAATAAATTAAACAAATTTTGTTTTTTGGCTTGATAAAAAATGCTTCTAATTTAATTTTATCTGACTCATTCATATTGGCAATTCAGATATATATTACAAACATTTTAAAGTAGATGACATTAAAATGATATTGTCATATTTTTGAGTTGCGTTCTTGGGACGACTTCGTTGTAAAAGTTCATTCAATTCAATTCAACTTTAACTTAAGAAAATCTGTCAGGAAACTCCTAGTATGTGATTTGTCTTTAACAAGATAACCACACGCCATGATGACAGTAAAGTTCTGCTGTTAGTGATTACATAGTAATAATGAGAAAAAAATCAAGAAAAAACCCTCATGATACTATCCCAATATGGTAAATATTTGCTCTTACATTTATTTTTACTTTCAATGTTTTATTGTAAAATATAAATAATGTATCCCCGATATGTTATTGACTTACGAATATTGGTATTTTTTTTCTATTGATTGCCTTAACCAAATTCTACTGCATTCTACTAAGGAATTTGTGACGCAATTGGATACATTTAACATAAAGAAGCGGCTCTAATTATGTTAAATGAATTAAATTGCGTCGCAAATTCCTCTATAGAATGCAGTAATATCTGGTTACCCATACTAAAAGAGAAAATTGATAGAAAGAAAATATTCCTATTAGTAGGTCAATAACATATCAAGGATACATTATTTATGTGTTAAAATAAAATAAAAGTAACATCAGAGGTTAGTGTTAATATTGAAAGTAAAAATAAATGTAAGACCAAATACTTACAGTATCGAGATAGTAAATGAGGTTTTTTCCCGGCTTTTCCTCTAATTTACTATGGGATCACTAACAGTACAATTTTACTATTATCGTTGCATGTGGTTGTCTTTTTAAAGACAAATCACATGCTATGATTTTCCTGGCGAATATTCTTAAGTTACAGTTGATTTCGTGTAATCGAATGAACTATGTTTATGTTACAATAAAGTTGTTCTAGGAACGCAACTCAAAAATATTGGCAATATCATTTTAAAATCATCTACTTTAAAATGTATAATATGTGTCTGAATTGTTAACATGAATGAGTCTGATAAAATTAAATTGGAAGAATTGTTTACCAAGCAACAAAAACAAAATTTGTTTAATCTATTAATGTTTTGTATTTTGAGAACGATTTCCGAAGTGTAAATCGAAACGTCAAATAAACTTAATTTTAAAGTAAAATTGTGGCTTATTCCCAACAAAAATAGTAAATTTATTCATTAAAAAGACCGAAAAAGAGTGAAACATTACAAAATACCCTGTGTGACAGAATACATCCCTTGAGTTTATAAGCTGAAACGTCAAATAAAGAATTTATTTTATAATTCGTATTATACTCCTAAAAAGAAATTTGGAAGAACCTGTGACAGCAGACAAACAGTTTCTGAATAAATGAAAATGCAGACAAACAGTTTTACTGCCTTATATGCCTAACTATCTAGCATTCCATGCCGTATACTATAGATAATCTTAATCCAAGCAGTGACGTCCTCTTACGCTTCCGTAAGTATTTAATCACGGTTGTATTTTGTTTATTTTACTCAGTTTTTGTTTATTTTGTTTATTTCACTGTTTTTTCATATCCTCCTTATTTTCAATTCTTATAAGAAGTATAAAGCAGTTTTGAAATGCTTGATAACGTAGTTTCAATTGATATGACCATGACCTATCATTTTGTGGCATTTTCTTCACCATTTAAGCAAAATCGTAAATCAGTGCAATGCTAACATGTACTTTCATCAATTCATTGGCAATATTGACCATTAATATTTGTCAAATAAATTAGAAAACTAAGTTTGTTTAAACTTTAAATATCAGTTACCACCTATTAACAACCTACAGTAATTTTTATCACTCGATAAACGGCATCTACTAGTTATGGGACTTTTTTCGTATGTCGAAAAAAACTTCTTCTTCTTCTTACGGTGCCTATCCGTTTCGGATGTTGGCGATCAACATGGGTATCCTAACTTTGCTTGCTGCTATTCTGAATAGTCCGGTTGTCGATGTATTAAACCACTTTCTCAGGTTTTGAAGCCAATATATTCTTCTTCTCCCTAGTCCTCTCTTTCCAAATACCTTGCTCTGAAGAATGAGTTGCAACAAGCCGTGTCTCTGTTCATTCCGCATAACATGGCCAAGATATTCTAGTTTGCGCTCTTTAATGGTGTTAATAATCTCGCATTCCTTGCCTATTCTACGTAGGACCTCAACATTAGTTACACGATCCACCCATGAAATTCTTAAGATACGTCTATAACACCTCAAATCTCGAATGCCTCGAGTTTTCTTAAGGAAGCTTCGAAGAAAAGCTTCGAAGAAAACATACAGCAATTTGTCGAGTAACATTACACGTAAATTTATTAGAATAAAAGGAAATATTTTAATAAAACTATTTTGTAACAAATTAAAAGAGGGAATAGTTTTAACCTATTTACAACAGTTCACCGGAAATAATATATTGTAAATCATTTATACTAGCACAATTTTCAATTAAAGGTGACTCATCTACAAATCATCTACAAATTAATCTGAGAGCTAACGACAACAATGGTAAATTTCAGAATTAAATTCTTACCAGGGTCATTTTTATTGTGTATGCTTCGCCAATGTAAATAAGTGAAAAGTAAGATAGTTCCATAAAATTTGCCCCCGCAACAATATAAATTCTGCGATTCATGAGCGTATAGTTGGACAAGTTCGTTGAATAGTTTGAAACATCGGTAAACTTATCAATATTTCGCTGGTTTATATATTTAAGTCCTTGGAAAGAATGGAAATGAGAGAAATAGTTTATTCGTTTCACATTCTATTTGTGCATAGCCGTGGTGTGTTCTGTTTCTTGTGAGTATATTTATTATTAACTTTAAAATAGTTTTTGAAGTAAGTAAACAACAGACAATCAGCAGAATAATATGGTTAAGGTTTATTATTTTTATAGCATTAAGATGGATGCCGTAGCGGATCCAACTAATGTACAAAGAAAACGAAAGTTTATGTCGGTAGAATAAAAGCAGATTGTCTGTAGAGTGTATGAAAATTTAAAAAATACACTTCGTACAATGGAAGCTGTAGTTTAGTGTTCATTGAATGCATTGTACATGAAAAAAAGGAGACTGGGGTTGTGCAAGCTTCAAAAGTACATTGTCATGGTAGAAAAAAAAAATTGAATTGGACGACTACCAGAAAAATTTTGTACGCCTTACTATTTATTCTTTCGTTTTTGAGAATAAAGCGCCAACACTCGAATCCATTAGGACAAATGTAATGAATAAAGAAGATTTAAAATATATATATATATATATATATATATATATATATATATATATATATATATATATATATATATATTATATATATTATATTATTATATATATATATTATATATATATATATATATATATATATATATATATATATATATATATATATATATATATATATGCCAAACGATCCCTTAAATCTGTCTTAATATAAAGAGAAGATTTAGTCTCATGGCGACGAAGATATCTTCGTTCTATTAGAGAGGTTCGTTCGGCCCACAAAAAGATTTATTGTCTGGACGAAACCTGGTAAATACCGGTCATACAGTATCTATGAATTGGCAAGATACTACTGTAACGAGTTATCGTCAAGCATTTGTGGAGGGTTTATGAACAGTGTTACGAGAACCAATGAGTACTGGGCAACGACTGATTGTCGCCCATATAGATAGTGAGAGTAGCTTTTTAGACGATAGTGCACTAATTCCAAAAATACGGGGGATTATCACGAAGACATGGACGCTTTGAAAAATGTTTTAAATCCCTTCTTTCACGAGCCGAGCCAAATACGGTAACAGTGATGGATAACACTTCCTATCACAGCCGATAATTAGAACATCTGCCAACTATAGCCAATAGAAAAGCAGACCTGTAGAGTTGTTTATTACAAAAAGAAATTCCATTTTCCGAGGACATGGTTAGGACTGAGCTTATAATCGTAATTGACAGTATCGTGACAGATATCGCCAGCATGATTTTGAGACTTCCTCCTTAACATTGCGAGTTAAATCCAATAGAATTAATCTGGGGTTAAGAAAAGCGTTCGTAAATAGTAAAAACGTGACATATAAAATTGCTGATGTCTAACGTTTGTTAGGGAAAAAAAAAAGGAAGAGAAAAAAAATCATAGTATGGCAGAGACGTATTGAAAATATGAAGTTGAGTGTATCACGAGGACAGAGAGCTCTTCCAATATATACAGAAAAAACCTAGAATGCTACACTTTTCACAGCAAGTAATACTGGAAGGAAATATACATCTTAAAAGGGGTCTAAGGGCTAAACTGTCGTTATGCCTGCGTACCCTTCTTCAATGCATAGTTACGAAGTACTCCGCAATGCTGTTAGAAATAGTATCATTTAATCCTGATCGACAATTAGTTGAATTTTGTCTTACGCAGGAATGTACGCCATCTTTAGAAAAAACAAAAAATCAAACCACTTACCAAGTTTTGTTTCCATATCAGCAAATCTAAGACACATTTCTCTAGTTTTGTCCTCTGGAAGTAGCTCGATAGCCTTTTCGTAGATCTGCCTCGTTTTGGGAATCCCATAAATTTCGGCGGCTCGTTTGATGTAGATATTAAACACATCGAACATTTCTTGCTCTGGAACAGCTTTGGTTGACCTAAAATACAATATATCATTAGTATAAGGTTATACAATTAAGGATCAAAATTACAGATGTGGTTACGATTTTTGGAAGCATAGCTTTCTTATCGCGGCTACAGATGAAGCGGTGCACGGCGGAGGATCGTACAGAGGTGTGAAAAAAATAAAACCGACTGTAATGACTGCAGCCACTGTAACAACATAGTCTCCCATGCGTGTTTATCACCAATGATGAACATAAAATGCATAAAAAACGAACAATAATTACTTCTTAAACCCTACCAAATTTCATTTGCATATCTCAACCAGTTTTAGAGCCATACATAAATCATCAGTTTGTAAGAATAATTTCGAAATCCCGCATCTCGGAAAACAAAGCATTATCGGACATACATTTATCTAGCTAACTGTCATTACTTTCTTCATGCAGAATCACTCCCTGAAGTTTGTTGCACTTATTTCCTAACACCCTGTATATTACACAAATACATGATTACTATTATTCAAATAGAGTAAAAACCGACACTTTAAACCTCTGTAACTCAGAAACAATTGATATTTGAGTCTTGGCGCACTAAGAACTTTTGATTAGCATGATCAAAGCTACCTCTCTGCAAAGTTTAACCCAATTTAAATGAAACCACTTTTACATAGGAAAATTGCAAAGGTTCTTTGTTCCTTTGGTCTTAAAAAATAACTGGACAATAAGAATTATTTCAAAATAATTCAAAATTATTTTTTATAAATAAAAACTGAATCAACAAAAGACTTAAATTTTAACAAAACAAAAAACACTGTATCCTAACGAGAAAATTGAAAAAAAATTGTCAAAACAACAGTTTTTAAATTAGAATTTATAAAAAAAATCCAAATATTGCAGATCTCGTCTTCTTCTTCTTTTTATATAGACATAACTCTTGTCTGTTTTTCAATATGCCTCCAGAAAGTTGTCGTTCCATCTTTTTCGTGGTCTTCCTACTGATCGTCTTCCTATTGGGGAACCGTCTCTTGCCGTCTTTACTACTCTACTTGTTGTCATTCGGCTTATATGATCATTCGATTTTAGTCTTATATTTCTTACCCAGTTCTTGATGTTCTCCACCTTGCATCTACGACGTATATCTCTGCTTCTAGCTCTGTGCCATAGTGTCTTACCATCAATTTTTCTAAGTGTTTTCATCTCTGCTGTTTCTAACATCCTTTTTCTCTCTGTGTCAGGTCTTGTTTCTGCCGCGTATGTCATTATTCAACTCTGAAGCTATTTTCTTGTGGCATTGTAAATTAATTATTATTTATAACTGGGAATAAGCCACATTAAAGATAAAAATACATTTATTGACGTTTCAATTTCCAATTCGGAAATCGTTCTCAAAATACAAATAGTAAATTAAACAAATTTTGTTTTTTGTTACATAGTGAAAAAATTCTTCTGATAATTTAATTTTATCTGACTCATTTATATTGACAATTCAGACAAACATTATGCATTTTAAAGTAGACGACTTTAAAATGATATTGCCAATATTGTTGAGTTGCGCTCCTGGGACGACTTTACTTATAAGATAGTTCATTCGATTACATGAAATCAACTTTAACTTGAGAATATCCGTCAGAAAAAATCATAGCATGTAATTCGTCTTTAAAAAGACAAACACATGACATGATGACAGTAAAATTCTCCTGTTAGTGATTCCATAGTAAATTATGAGGGAAAAACCAGGAAAAAAACCTCATAATACTATCCCGACATTGTAAGTATTTGTTCGTGAATTTAGTTTACCTTCAACAAACATCAAAATTCTGATTTTATGTTACGTTATTTAAAAAACATAAATGATGTATCCTCTATAATATGTTACTAACTTACTAATACTGGTATTTTCTTATTAATAACTTCCTCTTTCAATATTGGTAACCAGATCCTACTACATTCTGCCGAGGAATTTGCAACACAATTGGCCTCATTTAGCATAATTAGAGCCGCTTCTTTGATTTTTCTTTTTTTACCATCCGTTTCTTTTAGGACTATATTTGAATTATTCCATTGAACTCTATGTTCATTATCCCATGCGTGTTTACATATTTGAGATCTATCAAATTCTCTATTTTTAATATAAGATTGATGTTCACTTATTCTAACATTTAATGGCCTTGATGATTCACCTAAATAAAACTGATCGCATTCACAAGGTATTTTATAAATGCAATTCTTTGTCCTTTCTTGTTCATTGTTAGGTTTGGTTTTGGACAAAATAGATCTCAACGTGTTTGTTGTTTTGAATGTTGTTGAAATGTTGAATTTATTTCCTATCCTTTTAAGTTTTTCTGATAATCCTTTTATGTACGGTATTGTTATTTTCCTCATATTATTCCTTGTGTATGCTGTAGGATCTCGTTCTAAGTTGTTCTGTTCTATTCGATCGATTGTTGAAAATTCCTTATTTATAAACGATAAAGGATAATCATTTTTTAATAAAACAGATGTTAACAAATGTTTCTCCTCCAAGAACGAATTTTCGTTAGAACAAGTAATTTTGGCTCTATCGTATAAGGATTTAATTATTCCCTTTTTTACATTAATATTGTGATTTGATTTGAAATTTAAATATCTATTGGTGTGTGTTGGTTTTCTATACACCTGAGTCTCATATCCAGTATCGTTCTTAGAGATCAAAACATCCAGGAAAGGTAGCGTGTTATTATATTCCTTTTCCATGGTAAATGTTATTGTCTCTTCTTTATCGTTTATATCGTTTAGGAATGTGTCCAACAACTCTGATCCATGAGGCCATATTGAGAATACATCATCTACATACCTCCACCATACTGTGGGTTTGAAATTTTGTTTAGAAATGATATTTGTTTCAAAATCTTCCATAAATATATCGGCTAAGAATGGAGATAAACTAGAGCCCATTGCTAGACCAAAATTTTGTTTATAGAATTCATTATTTAGTTGAAAATATGTATTATCAGTACATAATGTTAATAACTCCATTATAGCCGATATGTTTAGTCTTGTTCTAGTTGCCAATGAATCATCACTCTCTAATTTTGTCTTGACTATACTTAAAGTCTTATTTAATGGCACATTCGTAAATAAACTATTTATGTCAAAACTTACCATAGTATTATTTGAATTAAATTCAATATTTGATAATTTATTTAAAAAATGTTGTGTATTTTTTATGAATGTGTCATTTTTATTTGTATAAGGTTTTAAAATATTTAATAAAAATTTAGATAGTTCACTACAAGGAGAATTTATGGTACTACAAATGGGTCTAAGTGGTATATTCGTTTTATGAATTTTCGGTACTCCATAAAAATGAGGAGTCTTACTGTAATGAGGTGTAATTAATCCTCTCTGATAACTTGTTAAAACATCTTTAAACTTGAATAAAGTTCTATATATTTTGTTTTCCAAAGGCTTTGTTGGATCTTTTGTTAATTTTGTATAAGGTCCGTTTATTAATAGATCTTTAATTTTATTTTCGTATTGAATTTTATCCATTATTACAGTTGCATTCCCCTTGTCTGCTGGTAGGATGATTATGGAGTCGTCATTTTTTAAAGTTCTTATAGCCTTTAGTTCCTCTTTGCTTATGTTTTGTTCAATTTTAGTAGATTTTTCCAATTCAAGTTTACATAACACTCTGTATTCTTCCTTTTCATGGCTTGGTAAGCATTGAGATATTTTCTCCACTGAGCTTATTATGTCTAATTTTGGAACGGATGGCTGAGTAATAGCAAAGTTTAGACCTTTTGACAGTATTAAATTCTCCGTAGCATTTAAATGTCTATTTGATAGATTGACAACTGTCGCTAATATGTCATCATTTCTATTGAGGTTATCTAAAGTGTGTATACTGTTTTGTTCTAAAAGAATATTAAATTTATTTAAATGTATATTTCTTTGTTTTCTATATGAATTTTCATATACTATATGTAAACTAAAAATAATTTGATCAAAATCAGAATTTGATATCACATTGAAAAGCAAATCTTCAATACTTACAATATCTTGTTCAACAAAAAATAAATTCGATCTATGATATTGTAATCTTTCTCGGATCATGGACAAACTGGCTCTATGAAGAATGTTTTCCAACCTTCTGCTTGAATAAGCTGGACGTAACTTCAAGCCCTTTGGAATTAGGTTGTTATCTCTACATCTTCGTAAAAATTTAATTGAGTTTTGACAGTGTGCCAGTTTCTTGTATAAAATTTCCAATCTCCTAAAATTTTGAATAACGCTGGGCCCATAACGGTTTCTTAATATTGTTCTGAAGCTATTTTCTTGTGGCATTGTAAATTAATTATTATTTATAACTGGGAATAAGCCACATTAAAGATAAAAATACATTTATTGACGTTTCAATTTCCAATTCGGAAATCGTTCTCAAAATACAAATAGTAAATTAAACAAATTTTGTTTTTTGTTACATAGTGAAAAAATTCTTCTGATAATTTAATTTTATCTGACTCATTTATATTGACAATTCAGACATACATTATGCATTTTAAAGTAGACGACTTTAAAATGATATTGCCAATATTGTTGAGTTGCGCTCCTGGGACGACTTTACTTATAAGATAGTTCATTCGATTACATGAAATCAACTTTAACTTGAGAATATCCGTCAGAAAAAATCATAGCATGTAATTCGTCTTTAAAAAGACAAACACATGACATGATGACAGTAAAATTCTCCTGTTAGTGATTCCATAGTAAATTATGAGGGAAAAACCAGGAAAAAAACCTCATAATACTATCCCGACATTGTAAGTATTTGTTCGTGAATTTAGTTTACCTTCAACAAACATCAAAATTCTGATTTTATGTTACGTTATTTAAAAAACATAAATGATGTATCCTCTATAATATGTTACTAACTTACTAATACTGGTATTTTCTTATTAATAACTTCCTCTTTCAATATTGGTAACCAGATCCTACTACATTCTGCCGAGGAATTTGCAACACAATTGGCCTCATTTAGCATAATTAGAGCC